GTTCATTTATTTAACTATTGATGCCAGTGACTTACACAATGAGGACATAGTGAGGCAGCATGTTTACAATAGAATAGTCATGCCTTCACATGACACAGAGCTATTTAGGGAAGGGGGAGAAAGGGGTATGATATTGATTCAAATTTCTCAAATTCCTCGTCCTAATGATTCACTCTTCATACGAAGTTCCTTAGCTGACTATTTCCTGTTTGAGTCGAACTCTATTTCGACTGGAAGCCCGGAAATGCCTTGGATATTGGGAAAATATTATATTTTCCTTGACAAAATTTTGCCTATCGACCAACACCTTTATGTTTTTTTTCAGGATGGAGTCTACGTCTTCGATTTGGTTGTCGAGCGAAAGCTCACCATGACTTCACGTGATACCGATCCATGGAAGCATGGCACCCCAATAGATTACGCTCCAAGCTCGGTGTGTCAGTGATCTTTGCATTTACGATAGCGTAACGATCTTTGTCCTTCTATTTTAGGCTTCATGGTCTAGACGAGAACCTGATCAACTGAAGGACTGTTTCCAAAATTATACACTAGATTTACAAGCAAGTTCCAACGATGCAGCATATCTTAGCGACGTTGTCGTTTTGGACGGAAAGCACAAACGGGTCCTAATGATCAACGGCAAAACGTATGAGAATTTCCTATTGAGTATATTTCTTTCCTTCCTTAGTTAAGATTCCTACCGTAATCTTGGCTGATTGACCCATAAATCTTGTTGTTTTTTGCTTTTTTTGGTCGCTGAAAGATGGTCCTTTCAGACCTGGTGACCCGATTGTTGTGCCATACCTCTCAGAAGTACTTCTACGGGTTCGCAACAATGTCCTGATGGACTCCATATCACTTCATGTTCATGGCATTGATAAACATGGTGAGTGCTTGGTTCAGCTTGAACGAATTCCTTTGATGAACTCGTTTTTCAGATCTTTGGTACATGGACGGAGTATCGTTCATTCAGCAGTGCCCAATTCTCAGCACAAACTAGTAGGTTGAGCTTTCTCAATTAACATGAAGGCAGTTTTCCGCTGAGGCGTTGTGAAAATGGAAGTTGATTAGGCATCTGAAGAGTAAAGGCTCATCCTAAGAGGCGATAAAAGATGTGCGTTGTTTCGTGGAAGTGAAAGCGACGTGCAGAGGAATTTCCCTGGAGAGCGAAAATGTACACCCATAAATTCCAAGTTTGTTGCAATCTCTTTTTCTATAGTGGACGGAGTTTAGCGAAGAGAGGGTGCGGAGGAAGAGACGCCCAGGCGAGAGAGCACAGCATCCAGCCAGACGCAGGACCGCGGATGATGCTGCAGTCGCTTGTGTCTCTGCGACTATGTGGCAAAGTCGCAGCTTATTTGACGCTTCCTTCGGAGCAGTGGGAAATGCACAATTTGTATCATGGCCAGCTCTATCTCTCGTTTAGGCTGAATCATGTAGTTAACGCTGAACTGTGGCGCTGATTGCTGACCTTGCTTCTTGCTAACTTTGCTCCCTTATAATTATGAGGGTTAACCAGAAAGGATGAGAACTAACGAGCTTACAAGGGAAGGATGGTAGGCCGAAGTGGCCGTTCAAAATAAAATGTATATCTCCTCCGATGCGTCTCCAGACGGTGATTCCAAATCTGGGGCCGTAAGGTATGCTTCCCCGAAGGGTTAGGGGACGAAAATCCCTTTAAATTTTCTCTGTCGTCCCAACTGGGATTGTCCTGATAAAGGGCCTACATTTAATATATGTGTGTAGCTTAAAGTAAGCATGCATTGAGAATAAAGAAACAGTGTCGTTCAAAACAAAAAATTTAAAGGGACTTTCGTCCCCGCAAGCATTCGGGGAAGCATACCTTACGGCCCCTGCCCTAAACAACACTCTCCGAACGGAGTTATGAAGCGTAATAGCTCAGTGGTGATGGTCCGGGGTGGCAGGTAAAAGCTCGTAGGATCGGTTCCTTTGCAAGTTTGTTGCTTTGCTTTTGTCCGCAACACTTCTAGAGACAAAAGCAAAGCAACCAACTTGCAAAGGAACCGATCCTACGAGCTTTTACCTGCCACCCCGGACCATCACCACTGAGCTATTACGCTTCATAACTCCGTTCGGAGAGCCGTTTAGCAGATTTGGAAGGCAGATTTGGAATCAGCGTCTAGAGACGCATCAGGTGGTATACATCTCATTTTATACGGCCACTTCGACCTACCATCCTTTCCTTGTTAGACGGATCATGGTACTCGAGAAGAGTGACTCCTTGCGTGGCAAGTTTTCAGAGTCCGTAGTATCCTCCACCTCCTGGAATGGTTCCAGTTAAACCCAGATCCGAACCATCCTAGGGTAGGCCTACATAAAGCAGTTTATCTTGAAGGAGTCCGTCGAGCGGTAGGGGGAGGGGTGGTTGGAATATTCTCTCACTTCCCGAAATTTTTCCCTACCATTTCTCCCAACTCATTACCGTCCCTTTTACCACGTTTTTCCTTCTCCTCAGTTGAGAACTGAAAACAGATGCTTTGGCTGTCCATCCGAACCTTGCGATCATGCTTTTTTATACTTAAAGACTTTTTCACTTCTTGTGTGGGCATCAGTGGAAACCCGTTAGCTTTTGCTTCCGCGAGCTCCGTTAAGGGTTGACTTGAGAGTGAACAGAAATAGCAGCGTTTTGAGAAGTTGACCTCTTTACTGTGGTTTCACATAACTAACGAGCGCATCCCCAGTGACAGCGGGTGTTCCTCTAGACTGTAAAACTCCCACCAATGGGCTACTAGGGGACAAAGCGACTCTATACCTTCCTGATCCCTTCGCGGAACTTTTTTGCTGCAGGATCACGTGTAGAGCTGAGGCTCCAGCAGCAAAAAGTTTTGCGCTGCGAAAAGCGAAACATTGCTTTTCATCCTGGCGACTCACACCCCGGTTACCCACTCAGCCGCTCTACTCATTACCCTTTTCTTCTTGCCCATCTGTCTCACACCTACATACTTCTACATACTATTAATTTTGAGTCAGGGTCAGGCAAAAGCACAACTTAGGCAGAAGTCGTGTTAACGAATCTTGCGGTCTGTAGGGTAGACCATCAGAAGATGATCGCAGATGCGGCATTTCAGTTCACGGAAATCACGCGAAAAAGCGCTAGAGGCTTAAGTGTAAGCTGCTGGAACTCCAAACTCTTTTTTTATCAGGCTGTTGTCTGGCTCCCTCTTATCTCTGCGAAACGCAAAAGGAAAGCACGTACACAACTTCCGCGATGATATGACAAGGCTCAGGCGCCAAGCTCTAGGGTGCAACATTAGCTTGGAGAGAGGGTTTTATTCTCGGCCTTGTCGGCGATTCTTGCTTTCCGGTTGCTGGCGTTACACTTCACATCTCCACAGCTACTTGCAAGCGCAATATTCTTTTCCATTTTCGCAGTCGTGTGCAAGAACCGCACCACTTTGATCCTGGCGCATGCCTTAAATAATCTAATTTCCAATTAGACCCTTTACTTGTTCCTTGAAAGCACATTTTATGACAGGGACGAGTGGGACCTTGAACGTGAGCGAGGAAGGTCGGTTCACAACCTCAAAGGTGGCTTACCGCCTACGACTCTGAAGCGAGTGGCAAGGACGCAGTGGTGTCGTGATTTCCGAATTTATACCGCCTTGTTTTCGAGCGTCTGGAATTCCTTCAAATTGCCCTACTGTTTTCGGACTACCTGAAATCCTTTGTTACTATCAAGTCCCGTTCGGTTCCTAAACTGAACTTCTCACCTGAAAAAACAGGTGAAAACATCGGATAATTGAAGAACTACAATGAATGCAACATTCTTTTTTCTTTGGCTGATCTCATACCTGATAACGTTATCTATTAAACTACTAAGCTTCCGGCGAATGACTGACAACACTGTGGAGTCTCTTTTTCTAGACCTTCCGTTGCACGTCGACTGCAGACAGCTTATCAGATTGATGAAGAGTGCAAATAAACGGTCATAGATTACAGTTTCGAATACCGATTCATCGCCGACAACAAAGGAACTCATTGGTATCATGGACACTTCCAGACGGATCGTGGAGAAGGATTACTGGGAGGTGATAACGCTTCTGCTATCTCGCTTTACGCTTGCTAATCCGTGCAATGTTTACTTATGCTTAGGCTGTGATTTAAGGCTTCGTTGTGGTGGACGAGAATGACAGATCGGTACCAACGAATGTTGAAGGCAAGAGGGAAGTTCCCAATCGGGAATACTATGTGATGCTTCAGGTTGGTTGTTCCGAGAGGCTTTCCACCTTTAAAGGACGAATTCACGCTGAAAAAGCAACCCATTTCAAATTAACCTAGGGATGGTGAGTGGTACACGAAAGAAGGAAGAACCATGAGAAACGGCCCAGAACCCGAGAAATGGGACCCCTTCCTTGCCCGTTGCAAGGATGTATCCCCAAGGCTGGGGATATGTCCCCAAGATTGGGGATGCGTCCCCAAGGTTATGGATATATCGTCTCTGCCGGCAGGGGAATATCCCCTCTAGTCTCGACTAGGGGGATATATCCCCTGCCTGCAGAGACGCAGAGGGTCGACGGCAGTGACCGTCCCGCATGGTCGCGTCATAGGACCCATCGAAAAATGATGGGTCCTGTGACGAAACCCTTGAGCGGTCTCTCGAGTGAGGGGACGCATCCCCAATCTTGGGACGCATCCCCAATCTTTGGGGACATATCCCCAACTTGGGATGCATCCCATCACCCGCTAAAGGAACGCATCCCCAACTTTGGGGATATATCCCAACCTTTCGGGACGCATTACAAATTCATTAAATCCCAACCTTCGGGACGCATCCCAAGGTTGGGGAGAGGGGATGGGTACCCATCTCCTCGTCGGGGCTTGCTGCACCCGGCCCCAGATGATCGGTGGGCGGAGATCGCCGGACCCGCCAGCTTTGAGGCATGATAGGTCGCCGAGGTCAAATTTTTCCATGCGAATTGCGCGTCAGTTCGCACCCTCAGGAGGTCCGTTTCCCTTTCTCGACCTTCATTCTAATCGTGATTCCTCCTTTAATCATGCAGGCAGAGTCAGTCGGGTCAGCAGGGTGTATGGCTCATATTTAACGGAGACTATTCTCCTCATCTTCCACACGTAAGACCCACCTTCGAACTCGTATAAGTCTCGTCAACCCAAAATACGCCTCCCGTCTTTAAAATTCCCAAATACGATCTCTCAAATATGGCTTGTCCAGATGGACAGTTGAGAATTTCGGGAACCTCCCACTCCATTGTATTATAAGACCCCTACTCGCACGCTAGGAGAGTGTTTGGAATTGTTGGCTGAACCAAACACTATGAAATAGAGTTCGCATAAATAATACTTCACCGAAACTTGAGCGCTGGCTGTCTTGCGCTATAGAGCAAAGGCAGGGCGCTCTTGGTGGGCCCAAACTTTATCGTTTGATTTTTCAAAGAAGAACTAGCTGAAAGCTACAGTACACAGAGTTGGAGAAACAGAGCTTTTTTCGAAAGTTCAACCCATTCACGCGTGATTTCTAGGACTGGGCGACAGAGACAGGCGAAGAATCCTACATGAGACTCAAGGAGAAGACAATGAAATGGATGTATGGTTTTGACGACTTTGAAAAATGCTGGCAACCAACACGAACAGTGGACGGCGGTTGGTGAAACTTCTCGCATATCCTATTCTTATGTGCTTCAATAAAAACCAGTTTTGCTCCGCCCGCTATCGCGCGCATGTCAACGTATCGGCTTCAGTGAAACTGAGTATAGCCGGGCTATTGTATTGAGTAACATACTGCTTTCAATGGATTTGACTGATGGTGTTAGGGAAATCAGATGATAAGCGAATGGATCACGACGACATCACGAAGAAATTATATGTTTTCTTATCCCACATCTGGATAAGAACTTCAGTACATTTGCCTTCCAACGCTCCTTATCAGCCCCTATCAGCCGTTATCACTTTCTGGTCCCCATCAAATATGTTCCCGTCCCACCCCTATATCATATCTGCAAAACAACGCCTCAATGCTGCTGGGCCTTGCGCTGTGAATTTCGTGACATTTTGCCTTCCAACGCTCTTATCAGCCCCTATCAGCTGTTATCACTTTCTGGTCCCCACAAGTACTCGCATCATGAATTTCGTGACATTTGCGTTCTAGCGCCTCTTATCAGCTCTTATCAGTCGTTATCACTTTCTGACCCCCACCAAATATGTTCCCGTCCCACCCCCTATATCATATCCCAAAATCAACTCCAACGACTGCTGGTACGCGCGCTATGAATTTCGTGACAAACACACACACACGCACAGAATACCCTCGATTTCGGAAGACGAGAAGAAAATCGAGTGCAGACCACACATCATAAGAGACGACGGCCAAGAAAAAAAAGCCGCTTTTCTCTTGGCCGTCGTCTCTTATGATGTGTGGTCTGCACTCGATTTTCTTCTCGTCTTCCGAAATAGAGTATACCTAGCGAATTATAATAAAGGGTAAAAAAGGATAAAGCATTTGCCGTTGATCAATCCCTTTTTGGGATGCGGCACGCATTCTACTTCCATTTGTACATTCGTAGTGGCGTTTGAATGCGATGTGGCCTATACAATGACTTGCGGGGGCCAGCCGATGTACAAGTCAGTGTTTTTATCCTCCCAGACAAGTCTGGTACCAATTAACCGACCCCGGAGGGATGGAAGGCTTGGTTGGCCCGGGCGACTCACGACCCATATAGTAAGATACAAGCGCTTATTTTGAAGTTCACTTGCGTTGAGTTTTTACTTGCGCTCAACCATGTCGATATCATAGGCACAGCCTCAAGGCAATGGCACTGTGATAGCGCGCGTCATTAATGCAATTCGTGGATAAAATTCCGTTCTAATCAGCCAATTTTCTACGCTTATGAACTCGGCCTGCAAATAGCGTTCTGATCGCGCGAGTACCAGTAAAAGGCAAAATATTTTGAAAAGTCCCTTCGAAAGAACATAGCTTTCGTCAAATGTAAAATTAGCGCACATCTGAGATCAACCGATCCTTGCTAGTGTTAGTCAGGAGCCCGAAGGGGGGGGGGGAGGAAGCGAGCGCCAGCGGCCCGTATACTGCCGACTTCTCTATCAGGCCATTTGGCGCAGAGAAGATGACCATCAGGCCATCGTGATTCAGTTTCTGCTCCTGCGCTCAACTAGAAACCTTTTGGCGCTAATTCGACTTTAGTTCTCGAACTTATTCCGTCTTTCCCTGAGCGCTGACTGCAGAGCGAATACTTTTTTAAGTTAATGAGCAGAAATTTTTTGGAAAAACTCGGTTCACTTCATTTTTAGTGCTTCTATCTTTCAAGGCAATGTTGGTGGAGCAGTTCCGATCTCGGCATTGCTGATAAACGACAAAGGCTGGCACGTCAGGGACGATATTCTAACGAGACCGTGGGCTTTGCCATTGGAAAGGTTTCAAATCAACAAAGGGTAGCCAACTGATTGATGTACAAAACAAGTTAGATAAACAACTGGAGAAAACACGAGTACCATCGCTTCAAATCAAGTTCTCAGATGAGCTAGTGCTGTTCCGAATCACCAACGGGGGAGTAGCTCAAGAGCTGATGTTGCATGTCGAAGGCCATCAGATGTTAATCGTTGCTGCCGATGGCAATGAGATCGTCCCGCAGCCGGTATGTTCCACTCTTTGGATTATCTGAAACAGAATAAGGAGGTGCTCAGTTCAGATCGATCGACTAATCGTTTTCCCTGGAGAACGATATGATGTTCTCATACGGGGACTGAAAAACCCGACCAAGAAGAGCTATATGATGGTTAGTGGAGACGGTGCAAGTACTACTTCTTCGATTGGTCTCGAATCGCAACAGACTACCGTTCGCATTATTGAATACCAAGGCGAACAATATCTCTGTAAGACAAGAACCTCGTGGGGGTTTCTTCTTCAGCCTACAGGTAGCACTTGTCTAAGACGTTACTGTTAGCTCTGTCTCTAGCTCAAAATTAGGTCTACTCGAGTTTGTAGGACTATTTGGAGTTGTCCGAAATTTCGGTCCAGTTAGCCCACGGGTTTAGTCGTAATTTTCTGTGCTTTAGCCACTTTCGCACAATCTCCTGAATGCACTCCGACGAAAAGGTGTACGGTATTGAATTGTCCGTTCGAATCCTATCCGTCCAACTTCAACTTCACATGTATGTGCTACGACGAACTTCGCCATCCGAAACCATCTGAAATCGACAAGGAAATACTCAAGGATACCCCTTTCACGGAAGGATACGAGGTGAACGAGATTTAGTTGGTCGTGGGCATGATAGCTGGAGGGGTTGAGATCACGATGACGCCACTGAGCGCCATTTTGTGAAGTAGGCTCCCCAGAGCACTAGAGGCTGGGACTGCCCCCGAACGCCCTTTCACAAAATCGGTTTCATGGACGTTCATCGAAACCGCAGTGCCTTCTAAGAATTCGTTGATATCAGCGCCTTCGAGACAAATATGTCTGTTCAATAAGCGAAAGCGACCTTAATAATTTCAGGAACACTTCATCAATATGCACTACGACTCCCACGTAGATGGGTACAAATACGAGTTTCCGCTCGGAATGCCCTTACTACAATCAGGACGACATGGATCTGATTTCCAAGGTGCTTGCTAGATGAGATACTTTCACTTGTTAACAGTTACAGGCGAAGCCAACCGGCCGGTGGTAAATTTCTGATAGGGAAACTATTCGTGGCTTTCGAGAATGGGGGGGGGGTCATATTCAAAATTTTGAGGTTGGTTTGGTGGGTTGTAGTGAGGGAGTCACGTTTGATTCAGATTCTCGAGCAGGAATCACAAAATGAACACGCCTATAACAATGGCACTAGAAAACGAGAAGGCTCGTTGAAACACAGCGAACACACTCTTGTTGTTGGAATTGACTGGTGCCGGACGCAGACTTAGGAGCCCAAGGGAGAAAAACCTAGGAATCAAACAAAAGACCAAGCATTTACAGCCTACCGGATGACTCTGCAGTAGCCTGGGTCGTTACTAAACTAAGGAGAACTTTCTACCAACCTAATATAAGTCCTTCTTGACTACCTGAGCAATATTAATTCAAAACATCAATGAATTATAAATGTCGTGCCTTACATCCGTATCACTACACGACGCAAACGCAAACTGATAAAATTCACGATCCAAATTCTAATTCATTTCAATGAACTAATTGATCAAAGTTAAAATGCAATACAGAGTTAGTAAAAACTAAGCCCACGTGAGGTCGCTTTCTTCGACCCGCCGCTCGACCACAGGAATTGAATCACAGAAATCTTGAATAATAGTCCTGAGGGTCAACGCCCTGCGAACAGGCGGTCAACCTACGCCTGGGACAAGTACAACGGGTCCGGGGTGGTCGTAGTTGTTGAGTTTGTGGGTGTGGGGTGGGTCATAGTTGTTTGTGGAAAGAAAAGTTGTGAAGGAGGGTCGTATGAACTGTGTTACGAAATAGGGGTCGTAAAAATTCCAGAAAGTCCCAACGATAGGACCGACCCTGCCTGCAAGTCTGCGACGGGAAAAGACGACGGGAAAAGCGAGGACGAAGGGAACACCAGGCCAGGCCGTGATGGTACCGCTGCTAACAGCCCGTTCGTTACCGCATGATCACAAGAAATCTAGGCTAGGTCATATCGGCAGATGCTCGCAGGCTCCGGCGCGCCCAGGGGTTCTGTTGGAGCGGATCTTCGTGTTTCGTGACACCTCAGTCCATACTAAGGTGGAGTGTGGTTGAAAGCGAGGTGATCTCTTTCGGGACATAATAAGGGAATTCTTTCGCTATCTTTTTTATTTTCCGTACCGCTCGCGTCACTCTCATAAACCTTGATTTAATACTCGATATCAGGCATAGTAGTGGTAGGTGTGGCGCGTAAAGTGACGTGTACTTGATAGAATCTAGGTGGATAAGGTGCTTCCAACATACAGGGGTGGCCAAAAAAAAGAGACACTTCACTCAACATTCAAAACGGAATTATTTACGCGTCGCGAAACCAAACCAATGACCCCAACTGAATATTGAAGAGCACGTTATAATCTATCAACAAGCTACACAACAGCCTTCTACACCGACGACATCAGAAGATTTTCCCACGGAAGCATTGTGCGCGGTACGATCTCAACGAGGTCGTTGAGATACCATAGACGATTACGACGTCTCTGAAACGCTGGTCAAAAGCGGTTTTGCATAGTCACAGCTAATGTCTCTGGGAAGCTATTCAACAATTAATTCACTGAGGAAATTGTGTAGCAGCTTCAGGTCGGAGCGATTTCGGTAAGCCTCGTTGAGCTCGACGGTGACGGCAGATGACGTCATATTCTGGAGACGGCAGGGGCAGTGAAGGAGTGCTTGCTTCTGTTTACGGAGGAACAACTAAGGAATATAACGCCATAAAACTTTCATTAACATCGGCTCCCTGTGTGACGAAAAGTTCGATGATGTGCGCCATGGGCTGAGTGTCTCTTTTTTTTTGGCCACCCCTGTACATCGCTGGATATCAGCAAAGCATGCTGGGAAACAGCTTATCCACGCAACTTCTATCAAGTGCACGTCACTTCCGGTGCCACACCTACCCCAACTTTCGGATATCGAGTATCTTCAAAACCTTCTTCAGGCAAAAAATTGTACATGCATGATTAACCATCTTCGACTAATGATTTTAAGCGTTCGCAATAGGTGGGTCACGTTGGCGCGCGTGGGCCGGCCTATGGCCATTCACCTTCTCTATGGTGCTGTTATCCATTTAGGCGTGGGTAGTAACGCTTGCCATCTATGTATTTGTCAAATTTTCCACAAAACAATCGTCCAATGGCCCCGAATTTTTGTACTTAGCAGCCAAAAGCGATCAGTACATTTCAGGACTGCAAAAAAGTTAACTGTTCACGAAATGCCAACAAATACGACGACAACTGCAACTGCTTCTACCATTTGAAACACAAGTTGAACAACATCGTGCAGGTTGGTTTCATTCCCTGTTAGGCCTAACGCCTGCGGTACTCCTGTCCAACCTTGAACGGCTAAAATTTTCGAGAGAGAACACTTTTGTAGATCACACTGTACAACATGGGCACTGGTGGAGGATTCACCACCGGATATGCTCATCCATTCCACATTCACGGCACTCATTTCCATGTGATGAAGGTCGGTACGATTCACGCTTTGAGGGTGAGAGTTCGGAGTAAGACGTTCTATTCCAGGTCGGATGGCCATCGTACAATTCGAGCGGTATGATATCGACACTGAATCCTGACATTGAATGTAACGGACCGACTGTGAGTTGAAAAAGGCTGGAAGGGTGCTGGGAAAATTTGAAAGTTCTGAGTATTGAAAACTACCTCAGTTGGAACACTGAAACCTTTTCCAGGACATATGTGACGGAGCTGTTTGGCGAAACAAGTCCTGGATGAATGGTGCTGTTGAGGGCATGAACACCGAAAATCCTTCTCTTAGGGACACAATCACATTGCCCGTCGGCGGCTATATTGTCCTACGGTAACTCATTCACCTCTGTGCGTCTATGGTAGCCTTCTAGTCAGCCTATGGTCTCTTTCAGGTTTCGGGCTACAAATCCGGGCTGGTGGTTCGCACATTGTCATCTTGAGCTTCACGCCATGAGCGGAACGGCATACGCCTTTCAGGTTCGTGCATGCCCCGCTTCCAGAAATTTCGGGGATATCATTGACTCATCAGCTCTTATCACATCATGTTATCATATGACCTGTTCAGGTTGGAGAGCACGAGGACATCGCCCCACCGCCGACGAACTTCCCACATGACTGCGGTGCCTTCAGAATGCCAGCACTGGTACCGCGAAAAGTAGTAAATTCCATTGTATCGTTGAAGTCATCAGATTATATAGGCGCCAGTCCAAGCGGTTATCCTTTTTTCAGATCTCGGACAACAACTCCAGGCTACTGGTTTGCTCATTGTCAGTTTGAGCTTCATGCTGAACTTCTTGAGATGAAATACTTTAAAGCCCAAAACCAAAGACATTTCGGATATTATGAGGTAGTAAGTATTGCAATGTAATGTTCTGTGTGTGACGTGAAGTATCAGATTTTGTGCCTTGACTTATCTGTGACTCATTGGATACTGTAGCCGTAAAACATGAGAACTGAAAAGGCTGAATCACCCTTTGATTGGAACGTAGATCTTGTGGTACATTTATTGTCTTAGATTTATTTCAAGAATAGTGGGTTATAGGCAAAAAGGGTACTTAAGGGCTACATGTGTAATAGCAGCTGCTTCTGTTCTGATGCGCTTCAGAATCTACTCGCTTATGGCTCTTGAAGATGGAGTCTTCACTTCGAGTTGTTCTTGCTTAGAGCGAAATTGTTGAGCTTGTTCCTTAAGTAATCTATGACGACTGCTTTACAAGTGTGTTCCGAGTTTATTTTGTGGAAAACGTGTAAAATTGTGCGGTGCCATGTAGAGTACTATGATTTAAGCGCAGTGAAATAAATGTTGAATTCGTAGCTTGTCACTGTTGGAATACGGTAGTCGATGAGCAAGACTCAAATCAATAGAAGGTGTGTGATAATTCACCTCTCGTCTCGTCCAGAGTCAATTGTTACACTAGATTTTTTCGAATTTGAATGACTCCTGTAGAGCGTGTTCCCCACGCGGCTCCGTAGCGACATAGTCCGGGGGCAGGAGCATCTACGGCTAATTGTTAACTTCCTATATTTCGTACAAGTTATCTCAAATTCTGCAGTTTTGTAAACCGCTTCCTGAAAATACATCTCAAGGGTGCCCTCCCTAAAACGCCTCCTGCCTTTGAAAGGTCCGAAGAAGGCGAGTGCGCTCGAAACATAAGCCCGAACTTTAAGCTACGCACATTTCGGAACTCAAATCAGATCAACGAAAACATTGTATTTCATGCCGAGGTTAATAGAGAGTCGTTCATAAAAATACATCGCCTTTTCTTCGAATTCAATCACCTTCTAAGAATTACAAAACACAATTCACTTCGTTGAGATTCCCCCAAACCGTTTATGACGAATTCCTTTTTCTACTGGTTTAGCGTCATTCTTGCCATATCTTCTCAACTGCGGCACCAATTGTCACCTCCACTGCACTTTCGGACGCACAATCATCGTGTCCAGTCTCTTTAAAATCATTAACTTAGGGTGACCTATGATCTGGTTTCTCTACAAGGTTATCATGTTCGGTCCGCGACGAATTTCCACATAACGGTGATGGGAAGCTTTTAGGTAAAGAAGGCAATCTTATCGAAACTTCAGACGATGAGTACTAGTAACAACCTTGCATGGAGTCCAGTACCTCCCCATCTTCAAGGCTACTCTGAAATTCTCTACGTGAAAATACTAAGGAGCTCTTCAGCATACCCCCTCTGCCTTGCTGGTTCACTCCATCACCTACTCTGGCGGCTGGCCGCTCGAGTACAAGTTGCAAATCCATGACTGATCGACCAACTCGATCGTATCGGCATCGACAGGCTGTGGGACAGTATGGTTCACGGTTTTGAAAATTATAACTGAAGCGAACAGGGAACACCTAGGAATACACCTAATCTATACATTCACACGGAATACTAACCATTCTTTTTAAAGCTCACCTACTGACCCTATTTCATAGTCAATCCAATACATTGCTCACGAGTTATCTTCGATGTGAAAGCAGAACTAAGGAGCATTGAATAAAAGATGAAAATGTCGTTGTCGGTTTCCAAAGTGTTTGCCATTCAGTGGCCGTTTCAAGCCACAATATATCGAGCCGAAAGGGTTTCGATATATTGAAATCGAGGTAAGCAAACCAGCCCTTTTGGCGTTTCTGCTGGGGCCGTATGCTGAATGTTGGAGAGGGGATGGGGTCTCCGAGGTCGACGGACTACTTGAACTCGGTCGGTACGGTAGGGGAGTGATGACGAAGTGGTGCAGCTAGTCCAGCAGCTCCGCCAAAAGGGCTGGTTTGCTTACCCCAGGACTAAGCCTTGGAGAGAGGACGGACCTGCGAACCTCTCTCGCAGGTCCGTCCTCTCTTTAAGGCTTAGTCCTGAGGTAAGCATCAAATTGGCGGTTTTAAGGACCGAGTTGAAGTAGTCCGTCGACCGTCGGGGACCCCATCCCCTCCCCAACATTCAGCATACGGTCCCAGCCGAAGCGCCAAAAGGGCTGGTTTGCTTACGTCTGAAAACAGCTGGTAGCAATAACCTACTCATTATTTTCCTATTGGGTCTCTTTGGGTTTTACGAAACTGTCAGGCCGGGATTTCTTTCTGTCTCTTTCTTCCTCTTGTTCACCTTTTCAGCCCCACCATTCCTCAAGTATGATTTGAATGGGTTGCAAGATCCATTATTCTCGAAAATATGGAAAGTATGGACGAGATGATGTTGCTCAAGTTGAAGGCGAGGTTTATAAGTTTTGGTCTGTAAATTTGGTTATAGGGTTGTGGTGGATGCTGTCCTCCTTAGACATGTTACTTCTACCCCCAGGTGAGGATTCTTTCGCGCAAAACGAAGCTCATCTGATGAGCTGCTGCATGACTTGCTAGAAATTTCCAGGTACTGTGTAACGCTTCGGTCAAGTAGACCTTCGCACATTTGCCCCACACCCCCCCCTCCTCGAAATGGAGCTGCTTCTAGACAAAGGAAAAGAGTTGACCATGAGAAAGGTGAAAACATTTTATTAGTACATTGAAGGTGAACGTTTTTGTTTTCTTTCTTTTCTACGAGAGCAAAGTGGAACGATATAGCCATATGATGCATATGAATATGAGTAGCAGAATCCAGCTTTTTGATTCCGACATGAATGCCTGCAAGAATTTTTCCTAATCATTTTCAAAATAAGAAGGGGAAGGATAGATGATCAGGCATTGGTTTTGGGTTGTGCCATGCACTCCTCCTCCTCCTTCCTCCTGGGATCGTAGTCGCATTTGAACACGAATCGGCTTACACAATGACTACAGCGGCAGCCCATGTAGAAGTCAGGGCCTTCTCAAACACCTTCTCAGCCAACTGGCCTAGGGACAGACGATAAACCAGTTTGGGTGGGTGTTTGAAAGCTCGACTAGCCGATCAAGGCGATGTCTTCTGAAGAAGGGGAAATTTTGGGAAGGAAAGCGTAAAATTTCAGGTTTGAAGCCTCCGATAATCCCAACTTGGGTCACTGGATCGCAAAATCAAAAAATGACAATGAAAAAAATAATATTAGTGCACTATGGTGCTTCTGGACCTACCTCTTCCTTATAGGTGACCGTTTTCAAGCGAGATCTAGACACTGTGAGATTTGGTCGCTGAAATGTGTTCGCTTATTATATGTTCGGCCCATTCACTATGCTTCCTTTTTTCACACTTGGCGGTGTTCGATGGTTCACTCACTGCGGAGGACAGAAAAATGAAGGCAGAACCCAGAGAGCTTATTTCAAAGTGAGCACGCCCATGTGGAGAAGCCCAAAGGGTCTTTTGAGTCCTCTTGTCACACTAGGCGTTTTTTGCGGAAGGAGTTGGAGGTGCTTGGTGGTCACGGTTTCCTGTGCAATGAATTTTGTGAACTACGTGCGGAAATCCGAGAAGTACTGGCTTTCTGATGGAGGTAGAGTAGACAGTAAACATGACAGCCTGGAATCGTTTTGATCAGGGTGCTATCGTGCACATTTTTCACTGCTGATTGAAGGGCTGGATGAACAGGGTAAGCTGCCAGCTGGATTGGTTGACCTTGGTATACGCAAAAGGTAACATTGTCTTGCACTGTAGTAAGAATGGCAAGATTTTCTGAAGTTTGTCTATTTTTCACACGAATTTCTCAGACGATACAAAGTTTTGGTAGCTATCATTTGGGCTTTCCTTCAACTACGAGAATATAACCAGCTTTCCATAAAAGAGGTCTGATAAGAGCCATTGATATTCCTTTTGTCGCCGAATGATAAAACAAGCAATTTTCCTGTGAGCTTCTCGTATTAATTTCGTGACAATGGCCTGATAGCGGCGACTCTGTGCCTGCACCATTTTACGCCTTTGTACCAAGAGGCTGCAGAAAAATGAAAGGGACATGTTGTAGAAGAAAACTATGGACGAGTAGCTCATCAAGCGGAGTACAGGGTGGGCCAAAATTATGAGGACCGCGTGCGCGCGCGGTCATATCCACTTTTTTCCGAGTCGCTCCATTTTCATCTCCTTTTCTGTGCACTATGTGAGAGGGTACAATGTCTTCTTCCTAATGAAACCAAATTTCATGCAGTTCTCAAAACTAGTGAAATAACAACATCTCCTTACGTCAGTCCTCAAATTGAACTCACTAAGGGCTCGTTACATCTAGCGGCAGTCTAACGTATCAGGGAAGCTCTTATGAGCAACAGTTCAACTCTTCAATAAGTTTGGAACCACCACAGATGGAAAATT